CAGCAGTCACAACTTTTAAAATGTGAGGATCGAGACATTTGGTGCGATGTTATCTCATTCCAGCAACACATGTGTTAACCCTGGAAGTTACAAGTCATGTGATCATGCACTAAGTCATGTGATCATGCACTAAGTCATGTGATCACCTTACAGATGCACTAAGTCACATGATCACCTTACAGATCTACTAAATCATGTGACCATGCAACAGATCCACTGAGTCATGTGATCATTTAACAGATGCACTGCTCTGCATTCTCAATACTCGATTTTGCAATTAAATATTGCAATTAATTTCATAAACTGAGTACTGTATAATATGAATATATAATTACCGATTCCACAGCAATACTTGGGGCAATGTTTTCATTGATTTCGTGTAATTTATCAGAGAATAAATTCCTGTCTTCAGTATCCATGATAGAAGTGATCGGTGTGCCCAAAACCTAGACAAGAATAATACAAGCACAGAATGTTATTACACTACAATCTATACATTCTTAGAAATCATTATCTAACCATGGGTCATTATATAATACCACGCACCCCCACCCCGTTTTGGGCTATGCCTGTATAAGAATTATAATTGGTTGAGTCAAACCGCGGCAAAGGAACCAATAGTGTAGTTCACATGGTCAGTATGAATGTTACCAAGTCACAAATTTTATTAATTATTTAAATTTATCTAGCTTCTAAAGATGCTGTTTCCAGAAAAGCACTAGTTGTTAAAGAAACATAAAACTTTAATTCTCAACAACAATGAAAGGACCAGTCACTGCGACAAAGCCCTACTCCATGCGAAAGCCACCAGATACGAAATCCACTTACCGCGAAGCTACTAGTTATTATCATAATAAATTTATTTATTATTAATTAAATAAAGTTGTTTCATAAAGATAAGTAAACAAAATCTAGCATATCAACTGACGTATTTTCAATTGTCAAGACATTGCTTGTTTTGTAAATATAAACATTTGTTCTCACCTGCACACCATATTCTTGAAGTATTCCCTGTTTATACAGTTCAACTCCACAGTTCAGTGCGGTCTGGCCTCCCATAGACAACAAAA